TCTCCAGGATCAGGTCTTGGGCTGAAGGCGGCGCGAAACCACTGAGCCATCCGAGCTGCCCTCATTTATCCTTTCTAGTCACATCTATATTAGTGGTAAAACAAAAGCACAGATCAAATTTCTGATTCCAGATAAGATTCAGTAAAAGCATTCCATTTTACTCCTGTTAGTCATGACCCTAATTGGCACAGACAAAAATAACTCCAAATAAGGCCTGCTTTTATTTTTTTCTGCCAAAGTGTCAGAAAAAGCCTGACCCAATAGGACAGAAACATTTTAGCCTTTCTACCTTCCTGTTCTGGAGGCCATGAAAAAAGATATGATTCTCCCCAACCCTGATGGATGCTGCAACAGTGGAAAACATGGGTGGAAAATTGTCTTTACCCTACGAACAAATGATGCCCCTTGCCCACCCAGTCTGTGAGCTAAATTGTAACTATCACTCCTGAACTGGAGGAGTCAAGAGGAAGAATTCTAATTTTTACCTTTCTCCTACAGAAATAAGGAGATGTTCCTTCCCCATAGAGCAGATATGGATAGATCTCTGACTTCCATCCTCCCTGCAGTAAGGCATAGGTTACTCTACCCAGGGTTGAGCAGGGGGCTGTCTTTTTTTTTCCCACTTTCATTCTCCCTAGCCTGCACTGATGAGAATGTAGGATGGAGTCCTGTGTAGGTAGATAACACATAAGCAGGGAAGACTAGAAGCGCTGCAGAGGCTTTATAACTTAAACTGGCGTTTGAACTACAAACCATAAAAGTGAGCCTTCTGAATATAAACAGGTTGACTCTGTGCTAAAATGGAAGAATTTACATGTCCAGAGTCATATAAAACACAATGTCCAGGATATATTCCAGAATTACCTTAGCAAGAGCCAAGAAAATCTCAATTTGAACATGTTAATACCAATAATGAGATGGCACAGATGTTGGAATTAGAGGATAAAAATTTTAAAGCATCTATAATATGTTTCAATAAACAATTACAAATGCTCTCAAAAAATGTTAAGGGGCATCTGTGTGGCTCAGCCTGTTAAGTGTCTGACTCTTGATTTCAGCTCAGGTCATGAGCTCAAGGTCATGAAATCGAGCCCTGCATCAGGCTCCATGCTCCTTGTGGAATCTGCTTCAGATTCTTTCTCCTCTCCCCCTGCTCTCTCTCTCTCAAATTAAAAATCCTAAAAATAAAATAAAATAAATAAAATAAAATAGAAAATCTTAACCAAAGAAATAAACAATATACATAGGAACTAAGGTGAAAAACTAAAATTTGAAAATATAATAACCCAGGGAAGCCTGGATGGCTCAGTGGTTTAGAGCCTGCCTTCAGCCCAGGGCGTGATCCTGGAGACCTGGGATCGAGTCCCACATTGAGCTCCCTGCATGGAGCCTGCTTCTCCCTCTGCCTGTGTCTCTGCCTCTCTCTGTGTGTCTCTCATGAATAAATAAATAAAATCTTTAAAAAAAATAATAACCCAAACAAAAAACTCAATAGAACAACTCAATGGCAGAAGGGTACTGATAAAAGAACCAGTAAAACTGAAGACAGATCAATAAACGGTATTCAATCTGAACAACACAGAGAAAATAGATTGACAAGAACAAACCTGAGCCTCAGGGATCTATGTTAGAATAACAAAAGATCTAACAGTTGCACCATGACTGTCCAAGAGTCTCAGAAAGAGAAATAAAAAAGAATGTGGAATTGAAAAAATATTGGAAGAAATAATGGCTGAAGACTTCTCAAATTTGATAAGATATCAACCTACAGATCCAATAAGCCCAAAGAAACCAACACTAAGAAATACCATAATCAAATCTCTGAAAAGTAAAAGCCAAAAAAAAAAAAGTGGGTTGCCTGGGTGACTCAGTCAGCTAAGTGTCCAACTCTTGGGTTCCAGGCAGGTCATGATCCCTTAGTCATGGGATCAAGCTTCGTGTTGGTCTCTATGCTCAGCGCAGATCTGCTTCAGATTCTCTCTCCCTCTTACTCTCTCTCTCAAATAAATAAATAAAATATTTTTAACGAAATAAAAGCAAAAAACTTCTTGACAGGCAAAGAAAAACAACTCATTAATTACGGGGAGCAACAATTCAAATCATAGCAAATATCTCATTAGAAACCACAGAGGCCAGAAAGAAGTGGTATAACATTTTAAAGTGTTTTTTTTTTATTTTATTTATTTATTCATAAGAGACAGAGAGAGAGAGAGAGAGAGAGAGGCAGAGACACAGGCAGAGGGAGAAGCAGGCTCCGTGCAGGGAGCCCGACATGGGACTTGATCCCAGGTCTCCAGGATCACAGCCTGGGCTGAAGGCGGCGCTAAACCGCTGAGCCACCCGAGCTGCCCCATTTTAAAGTGTGGGGCACTTTCATACATGAAAGAAACTGTCAATCTAGAATTCTCTATTAAGTGAAAATATACTTAAAAAATGAAGGCAAACTAAAGTTATATTCTTAGGTAAAGTTATAAGAAGTTTTTGCCAGCAGACCAGCTGTAAAAGAAGGGTAAATAAAGTTCCTCAGGTAGAAAGGAAAGATATTGGTGGAAAATTTAGAACATTGCGAATGAAGGAAGAGCAACATAAAGGATAAATGGGTAAATATAATAGAATATTCTCTTGAATTAAAAAAATATGCTTAACAGTTAAAAGCAAGTTTATAATATTGTCTGATGTGGTTCTCAATGCATATAGACATAAATTTAAGACAATTATGAAGTGGGAAAGATACAAGTACTTAATGGGTATAAGGTATCTATATTATACTTGAACTGGTAAAATGTTGATACTAATAGACTACATTAAGTACATGTGCCTATTGCAATCCTTTGACAGCTATTAAACACAATGCAAAGAGGTATACTAAAAAGCACTAAAAATAAATTAAAATGGGATTCTTAAAAAAAGTTCAAGTGACCCACAGGAAGACAGAAAAGGAGAAATAGAATTAAAGACAGAGGAAAAATAGATAATAAAAAATAAAATGGCAGACTTAACTATTGACTTATCAATAATTACATTAAATGTAATGACCTAAATCCACCAATTAAAAGACAGAGATTGGCAGAATGAAAAAAAAAAATGACCCACTGACATGCTGTCTGCAAGAATCTCTTTTCAAATATACAAATAGGTTAAAAGTGAAGAATGAAGAAGTATATACCATGCAAATAATCATCAAAAGAGAGCTGGTGTGGCTGTATCAAATTAGCTAAAGTTCAGGCAATGAAAATCACCAGGGATGAGGGACATTACATAATAACAAAAGAATCAATTCAACAAGATGATAGAACAATTTTAATGTGTATGTACCAAATAACAGAGATGATAAATACATAAAGGAAAAACTACCAGAACTAGATTGAGAAAAAGATAAACCTGCAATTATAGTTGGAGATTTCAAGATGCTTCTCCTAGTGATTGATAGAATCAGTAGATAAGAGGTCAGGGTATGGAGAACTAAACAAGATCATCCAATGAGATATAATTGGCATATATAGAACACTCAGACCAACAATGGCAGAATACATATATTTTTTCAAGCATGCATGGGACTATATCCTGGGTCATAAAACAAGCCTTAACAAACTGAAAAGACCTGAAATTATACAAAGTATGTGTCCTTTCACCATAATGGCATCAAACTGGAAATCATTAATAGAAAGCAGGAAAATTTCCAAATACTTGGAAATTAAACATATATATTTTTTAAGATTTTATTTTTAAGTAATCTCTACACCCAACAGGGGGCTCAAAGTACAACTCCGAGACCCTGAGTTCCATATTCCACTGACTGAGCTAGCCACGTGTCCCTAAACAACATATTTCTTTTAAATTTTTTTAAAAATTTATTTATTCATGATAGACAGAGAGAGGCAGAGACACAGGAGGGAGAAGCAGGCTCCATGCTGGGAGCCGGACTCGGGATTCGATCCTGAGATTCCAGGATCGCGCCCTGGGTCAAAGGCAGGCGCTAAACCGCTGAGCCACCCAGAGATCCCCTAAACAGCCTATTTCTTAAACAAGGTATAGGTTTAGGAGCCTAACTTTAAAATTCCATGACTAATCCTGTCATTTAGTGTTACCAGTTGGGTGTTTCTCCAAGAAAGTGATAAAACCTTCTCCATCTGCTCTTGAGTACACATGCACGGGTTTAAAGTGCTCCAGGTACACGTAGGGAAAGGGGAACTAATGTTTGTTGTGCACCTACTAAAAGTCATGTTTGACCATTGATTATTTTCTTTAACCTTCATAGCCACCAATCACAGAGTTGTCATTCAGTTGGGTAGTGACAGGTGGCAGAGGTACCTAGCTGAGTGACAGGAAACCAGCTGAGGATTTTTGAGAAAGGGTTGGATGTCGGAGGGAATTTTAAGGAAATCAGAAGGGCCAGAGTTAGGAAACCTTGGTGGGATATGATTCTAAAACGGTGGAAAGAGGCTCCCTAAGAAGTCCTAACTCTGGAAGGCAATGGGAAGCACTAATAAAATTTAAGCAGAGGGACATTTTAAAACAATTACTTTAATGAGAACAGATTGCAGCGAGGAGACTGAAAGGGAGGAGCTCAGCTACTGAAGTGGTGAGGATTTATGTGGTACTATTACCATTTTACCTTCAGGAAATACAGCCTTCGAGAAGGTAAGCACAGCGTTGTTGTTGTTTTTAATCTCCAAGGATAAAAATATTAAAGAGGACAAAGTGATCACATTATAAATAGGATATTCCATTAACATTTAACGAGATACACAATTAAATGGGTCAAAGAATGTAATATGTCTGGCACCCTTAAATAGTAAACAGTGAATACTATTTCACTTCTAGAAGGGGCAAGTGTAATCATGCCGGTCGACGGTGGGGAAACCGAGGCTCAAAGCAGGGTTCACCGCGGTACCTAATTAGCAGCACAGCCACCCAGCCGCCCGCCCACGATCCCCGGGATGGCCCCTGTCCTGCAGGTCAGGCTCAGGGCACGGCCCTGCACCTTCGCCCGCTCCTACCCGCTGCAGCTTCAGGTGCGACTGCTCGAAGTCCAGATGGAAGAAGTTGCCCACGAAGGGCAGAGGTACGGGGCCCGGCGGGTAGTTCTTTGGGCGCCGTCTTTTGAGGAAATCAGCAAAGAACAGAAAGGCGACGGCACCCAGCAGGAGGGTGCGGAGATGAAGCACTGCCCAGAGGGTGGCCGCCAGGGAGCCCACCGCCGCGAGCATGGCTCTCCGGTCCTCTCGCTCGGCTGAGCGCTGAGCCCGAGACGTCCCTGCCTGTCCCTGCTGCTGAGCTCGCAGGACCGCCTGCCCGCCCCGCCCCGCCCATCATCTCGCCCATCTCGCCCCGCCCCGCCCCTCCCGCTGCCGCCCCGCCCACCTCGCCCCGCTCGCCCCGCCCTCCCGGTGCCGCCCCGCTCACCTCGCCCGCTCGCCCCGCCCCTCCCGCTGCCGCCCCGCCCACCTCGCCCCGCTCGCCCCGCCCTCCCGGTGCCGCCCCGCTCACCTCGCCCGCTCGCCCCGCCCCTCCCGCTGCCGCCCCGCCCACCTCGCCCCGCTCGCCCCGCCCTCCCGCTGCCGCCCCGCTCGCCTCACCCGCTCGCCCCGCCCCTCCCGCTGCCGCCCCGCCCACCTCGCCCCGCTCGCCCCGCCCCTCCCGCTGCCGCCCCGCCCGCCTAGCCCCGCCCCCGCCCACGTAGCCCAGCCCCGCTCGCCCCGCCCCTGCGCCCCACCGCCCTCGCGTGAGAACTCCGTCCCAGCTCTTTGCACCACCCTCGTCACGCCCGCCCAGTGGGCCTCTGTTTCCCCTCCTTCCTTCCCTGCAGCCCCGACCCCACGCCAGCCAGGCTGACCTCCAGAAGCCTGGGACGACATCCTCCCGCATCGCTCTTGGAAAAGGCCAGGCTAGGAGCACGATTCTTCCCTGTTTAGAAAGCCTGGCTCGGAGCCCCCGGGCTGCTGTGGTTTCAGCGCCTCCCCGAGAGCACCACAGCACTTGAGCTCAGTGGTGTTCAGTCTCCCTCTCCCAGCCAACGGTTGGAATCCCGCCAGGTGAACGGCGATGCTAACAGCAGCACCTGGCATTTCTCGGGCTCTTAACTAAATGCCAGGCGGCACACTCGCCTCTGTACATGAATCATGTCGTTCTGACACAATTAGGATAGATGCTCTTCTGGGTTCCACCTTGCAGTTGAGGAACCTGAGACCCAGAGGTTAAGTGGCGAATAGGTGGTGAATACATACATCCACCAGTCTGCCACACATGGGAACAAGATTCTGTATTTGTAACGTGTTGAAGATTAAAAAGCATTGCATCAACAGGGACCGGGGTGGCTCGGTTAAACCGTGGACCTTGACCATTGATTCCTGTTCGAGTCCCTTATCTCAGGACTGAGTGTGGAGCCTACGCAAGATTCTCATCCCCGCCTCTTCCTCTACAGGACTCCCTGCCCCCCACGCCCCTTCCCCCTGCCTCTAAAAAAATAAATAAATAAAATAATTAATTTATTAATTATTTAATTAAAAAATAAAAGCATTGCATCAAGGCCCCTAGCACTGAGCCTAGTCTGCAACAGATGCTTAGTCAGCATTGAAAGAGGATGTCTTAGTCCTTCTCCTTTTTAGTTTGCCACCTGAGGTTCCTCCTCTAAAGCCCCAAGACAGTGGTAGGGCCCCAGGTTCCAACCTTCCGTGTCATTCTGTGTGTGCCTACCTGTGTCTCCTCATTTGTGAGATACTCAAATCATGACGCATAGTTTTCTAGCAGTATAGCACACGTTACGTACTCAACATATAGATACACAGTCTGCATAAAATAATGCAATAGAACAGAACAGAATTTAAGTCGCTTTTCTATGTTTCCAAAATCAGGACCTCTTCTCACAGACTGTATAAAGGAAGTGTTGGACTTTACCTGAAATCCGCAAAAACTGATGGTTTAGTTATATTTATAATACTATGATTTAAACTTCTATAAGAAGAAAAATGAAGACCATTTATTTGAAAACAAAGATTAAGTCTCGCCTTCTATTTTCCTTCTCATTAGCTCCTTCCAAAGTAAAATCTAAATGCTATGATTGACATTTTTTCCTATAATGAGTACTTTCAGGGCATTGTGTAGCATTTGGCAAATATAAAGGAAGAGGAAGACATTTTTAACTTTAAGAACGTATTATTATTAATATGACCTTCCCTAGCTGAATATCATTCTCTTCTTGTTCCATTAAGTCAAAATACAAATCAGTATAGATATTTGGTTTCTAATATTTTAAAATGTAACGTTACTTGTGAAAAGTATTTTGCATAAAGTTGTGTATACCTCAGGTTCAAGTTAATAGCTTTGATTTATGTTCTAAAGAATAGGGAATAACACAAACATTATTACGATCCTTAGTTATAACCAAGATAAATATTGGTATTGGCGTTAAATGCAACTTTGTGTTTCTCTCCTATGTTCTCTTATACTAACCAATCTTCCAAATCATTGAGTTGCTCTTAAAAAGAAGAAAAAAACGAAAAAAGGGAAGAAATCAAGAAAAGGAAAAAGACTTGACGTGGCTTTGTGGTTGATCAAATCATTTTTTAATTGGTCAAATCACATACAGGGAAACACATAAAGCAACTAAGTGGAATATATATCAAATTCTTAATTTTACTAATGGACAGAATTGCACTATGAAAAATTATCAAATTATTCTTTTCATTGGTCCTTAGGCCTTAGTTCCTGAATAAAGTGTTAAGCCACTAATAAGTTAATCAACATTACTGATTAACAGTTATCAAGTGAGTTTTTTTCAGCATTAGTTGAAAAACTGTTGTGAATCCTGTCTATCCAGAGAAGTAACACTCTATAAATACTAACAGATAATTATGCTAGAGTATTTTTAGATATTAAGCCACATGTCAAGCATCTAAAGTGAATTTGAGATTAAGAGAAAGGCCTATTTTCTAAACAACAATGATAACTTCTTAATTTGCAAATTCCTTATTCTATGAATTAGAATAGTTTGAGATTTCTGAAATTTCTATTACTTGTCTTAATCTTCTTCCACCACATGAGTACATTGACAATTAGAAGGCACAAATATTTTTCAAATGCTTTTAAGGATTTATTTTTAAAATTGTGATACATTATTTTTTACTATGAAATAATTTGACACATTGTATCTTTTTTTATTTGCTTTGGATGTTTTTTTCCCAATATCTGTAAGTTGAAGGCATTTCTGTCATACTGAAAACAAACTTAAATGTGCTAAAAAGAAATTCTCGTGTGTCCTGTATTAGTATATCATTAGTGCCCTGGAAGTCTGAAGGCTGATCTAAACTTGCATGTTTTAGAATACTCAAGAAGAAAAAAATAACTACCTTAATGCCAGCCTTTTAGATTTCATGAAGATTTTGGTGAGGAATAATAGTACATAATATAAGTATTGACAGAACTCTAAAAGTTCCTTTCTAAAAAAAAAAAAGTTCCTTTCTATAAAATATAAAAGACACAATATTTATATAGAATCAGGTAAAGGAAATCAGTATTTAACATTGGATATTTTGTGCCTCGTGTTTACATTATAGTATTCAAATTGCAAGTATAACATTTTAATATTTGCTCCTATTTTTTATAAAAGTAAATCCTAAATTATTAAGCTTTTCCAAGTGAAAAAGCAACAATTTTTTCAAACAAAAATTGAGGGAATTTGATGGCTGTAGAACAGCCTTACAAGAAATGTTAAAATAAGTACTTCAGAAAAAAGGAAAAAGATAGAGGTCAGAAACTCAGGTCTACATAAAGAAAGGAATAGCATTAGGGAAAAACTAAGTGAAGATAAAAAAAAAATCTTTTGTTTTTCTTATTCTCAATTGATCTAATAACAGATCAAAATAAAAATAGCAATGATGTATTCAGTGATTATAGCTTATTATTAAGTGATATGAATGATGAAATATTGTATGGGAAGGCAGTAGGAAAACTATTAAAGGTACTTTCATTACCAATGAAGCAGTACAATGTTATTTAAAAGTGGATTTGGATCAGTTGGACATGTATATTGAAAACCCCAGGGGATCCCTGGGTGGCTCAGGGGTTTAGCGCCTGCCTTTGGCCCAGGGCGCGATCTTGGAGTCACGTCCCAGGATCAAGTCCCACGTTGGGCTCCCGGCGTGGAGCCTGCTTCTCCCTCCTCCTGTGTCTCTGCCTCTCTCTCTCTCTCTCTCTCTCTCTCTCTCTCCGTCTATCATAAATAAATAAATAAATAAATAAATAAATAAATAAATAAATAAATCTTTAAAAAAAAAAAAGAAAAAGAAAACCCCAGGCAACTACTTAATAAAAAAAAAGAACTATAATTGATATGCTAAGACAAAAGAGAAAATAGAATTATATACAATGCTCAATTAAAACCAGAAAAGGTAGAAAGAGTTGAAGACAAAAGAAAGAAAAATCAAGAGCAATTAGTAGAAAACGGTAATGAATATGGTAGATTAATCCAACTGTATCAGCAACCACCTTAAATGTCAATGGTCTAAATGCACTAATTAAAAGACTGAGTCTGTCAGAGTGGATTAAAAAAAAAAAAAAAAGGACCTCTTTCAGATTGTTCTTGTCAGTATGTAGAAATGCAACTCATTTTTGTATGTTGATTTTGTATCCTGCAACTTTGCTGATTCATTTATTAGTTCTGACAGGTAGGTTTTTTCTGTATGTGTAATCTTTAGGGTTTTCTATATATCAGATTATGCCATCATGAACAGAGATAATATTAGCATAGCTTTAAAAAAATAAAACACTTAGGAATAAAGCAATGAGGCAAAAGACTTATACACTGAAGACTATAAAACACTCTTGAAAGAAATTAAAGAAAACACAAATAAATGAAAGTCATCCCACGTTCATGGATGGGAAGACTTAATATTGTTAAAATGTCCATACTACCTAAAGTGATGCAATGCAAGCCCTATCAAAATCCCAATGGTATTTTTTACAGAAATAGAAAATATAATATTACAATTCATATGGAACCACAATTCAATTTTTTAATTCCAGAAAAACCAATCATTTTTCTTTAGTGAGTCACAGTTAAATGTCTGTCTTGTTTATGTAAATGTGTGGTGAGTAGAACCATATGCCCTCAGATTATAGTGTAAGAAGCTTTTATACTACTTTTTTGAAGTCTATCTTACAGCAGAAAAGTGCACAAATAATAAGTGCACAGTTCAATTAATATGCATAAAATTAGCATATCCAGTATAATTAGCACATAAAATAAGAAATAAAATATTACCAGTAGTCTGTCCTC